CTATGAACAAAGAAATACTGAAACCATGCTCAAAAGTATTAGCTACAGTCATTCTTGGGCAGGAAAGATCTTGCCACTGTGGTACATGTCCTGGTAACATCTAGATTAGATAGATTACTGCAGTGTATTCTGTATGGAACTGCTCCTGAAGACTGTCTAGAAGCTACAGTTGGTACAGAAAAATGCGGCCAGAACACTATCACTCCAGTCTTGTTCCGTCTACACTGGCTCCCAATTTGCTTCCAGGCTCAATTCAGGGTGCTGCTATTGAGCTTTAAAACTCTAAAGGCTTTGGGTCCAGCATATCTGAAGGACTGCTTATTCCAATATGAACCTACCCAACCACTCCGGTCATCTTCAGAGGTCTTGTTTTGGGTGATGCTGCCATTTGAGGCCAGACAGGTGGCAACCCAAGGGCCTTCTTGGTTGTGGTGCCAAAACGTTGGAACTCCTTCCTCAGAGAAATTGTGGTGTTCCCTCTAAGCTGAGTTAGTGTGAGCTAGCTCACAATTTTTTAGTCTCACACATTTTTGTCTTAGCTCAGGAAGGATGGTTCCAGAGCAAACTAATTTATGCAGTAGCCAAATCACTTGCTCACAACTTTAATGTCAGTAGCTCACAAAATAGAAGTTTTGCTCACAAGACTCCACAGTTTAGAGAGAGCATTGGGTGTCTCACTCTATCATTGTCTTCCACCATGGGTGATGACTTTTTTGTTTTCTTTGGTGTTCCCTCACCAGCTCTTACTAGCCCTCTTCCCTGTTCGAATGTTTGAAAGTGTTTATGTATTTATAAATATAAATATTTTTGTATGTATTATTATTTTAAATGCTTTTTAATGTTTCAAATGTTTAATGTTCTCCACCTTGGTGACATCCCGCAAAGTCCAAGTGTACTCGGAACCAGGGGCGGTGGGAAGATTCCCAGGCCCAGTCCGGGGCTCAGGGAGGCTCAGGCCGGGACGCCTGGTAAGGTTGGCACCTCTTCACCACATCCTCTAACTTTTTTGTTTTCTTTGGTGTTCCCTCACCAGCTCTTACTAGCCCTCTTCCCTGTTTGAATGTTTGAAAGTGTTTATGTATTGGTGACCCTGAATTTGGCGGAAAGGCAGGATAGAAATGTTTCAAATAAAAATAAATAAATGGTAGGAATTCATTTATTTTTATTGTATGCTATGGTTTAGTAATGGTTTAGTAATTTTTTTCCAGAGTTTACAATATGACAACATGTCATAGTAACAATCAAACTATTTTTTATGACATAGTATACCTTCAGATGGAGCTGCGGTGGTTCAAGTGGTTAAGACGCTGAACTGCAGGCTGTGGAAGGTCGGTAGTTCAGCAGTTTGAGACCCGGGTGCCGCATGATGGAGTGAGTTCCCAACTCTAGTTCCAGCTCCTGCCAACCTAGCTGTTCGAAAGCAAGAAATTGCAAGTAGATAAATAGGTACCACTTCGGTGGGAAGGGAACAGCGTTCCGTGCGCCTTGGTGTTTAGTCATGCCGGCCACATGACCACGGAAACGTCTTCGGATAGCGCTGGCTCTTCAGATTTGAAACGGAGATGAGCACCGCAACCCTAGAGTCGGGCTCGACTGGCTTTCGAGCAAGGGAACCTTTACCTTTACCTTTATACCTTCAGATATAGTAACAAATAATGGGCCAGAATGTGCTGAATTTAAGAAATTTTCAGTAGAATATGATTTTCTACCTGTCAATTCCTCAATCAAATGGTTTATCAGAAAAGGGGATTCAAATAATAAGACATTACTTAGGAAAACAGGATTTAGAAGTGGCCCCTTGTGATTACATATGCTGTGTTAGGTCTCCACTGGGCAGAAACAAAGTAAAGAAATATTGGGCACTCTTGAATAATGGAACCACACCACTGGAAATGGATTGGTCACCTGTAGATTTTTTATTTGGGAGGGAAATCAGAAACAGGCCACCATGGCTTTAAAAATTAAACCAGCAAATTAAACATAATTTAATAAGAATAAATACAAAATAAATTAAAACTGGGAGTTTTATTATAGCAGCTTTCACAATTTACAGGTATTAATGAAAATGGTCAAATGAGCTTATTCAAGGAAAATAAGGGGTGGATAAGGGTATTGTAAAAAAGGGAGTGGTGCTGAAGTCAAAATGGAAAATGGTCAGATATACAGTAGGAACAGGAGATATCTGTGATTACTACCAACAGAAAGGAAAATAAATGTGTTGAAAAATTACATGATGATGAAAGACAAGAGTTGGATTTATACCCCGTCCTTCACTCAGAGTGGCTTACAATCTCCTTCCCTTCCTTTCCCCACAACAGACACCCTGTGAGGTAGGTGGGGCTGAAAGCCACCACCCCGGGGCTCAGGGAGGCAGAGTAACGTTTCACCCCCCTCCCCCCGCGTTCGTTGCAGCTGCTCGCCAACGCCGCTCGGACATCACGTGCGAGAGATGGAATTTGGCCTTGGAGTCCAAGGCCAGCACCCCAGGGCTCAGGGAGGTGGAGTAACGTTTCGCCCCCCTCCCCCCCACGTTCATTGCAGCCATAACTGTTTAAAGAGTCCACAACGGGAGCTGGCTGAGCCAGAATGACCTCTGGCGCGAGAGGTGGAATTTGCCCCTAGGACTCCAAGGCCACCACCCTGGGGCTCAGGGAGGCAGAGTAACATTTTGCCCCCCTCCCCCCGCGTTCGTTGCAGCCACTCACCAACACCGCTCAAACATCACGAGAGGTGGAATTTGCCCCTTGGAGTCCAAGGCCAGCACCCCGGGGCTCAGGGAGGCGGAGTAACGTTTCGCCCCCCTCTCCGCACGTTCGTTGCAGCCACCGCCGAGTGTTTAAAGAACCCACAATGCACAAGAGGTGGAATTTGCCCCTAGGAGTCCAAGGCCACCACCTCGGGGTTCAGGGTGGTGGGGTAACATTTTGCCCCCTCCCCCCGCATCCGTTGCAGCTACCGCCCATAGCAGCGGTGGCCATAACTTTTTAAAGAGCCCCTTGAGAGATCTGGGGGAGCCGAAATGACCTCTGGGCAATATTGCCTTTGGGCATTCATGGATTCTGTGTTGGCAATTATTTCCCTATGAGCAATCATGGATTCTCTATTATCAATTATGTACTCTGTTACCCCCTAAGGGCAAGCGTCCTCTCCATTATTCCTTATGGGCAGTCATGGTGAAAAGTACGCAGATGGAGAGTGATTTCAGCAAAGCGTACTTTATTCAATCAGGAACAAGACACCTTGGCTGGCTTGCAGGCCGGCTTATATTCCCCTGGAAACCGCCACCCAAAACACCCCCCCCACTTCCCAATAGGTTATTTACAGTGGCTGAGAGTTCCATAGGCTCTCGGCCGCGAACCTATCTCCCTGCTTGGTGTGGGCTAGGATCCGCATCGTCCATTGTCTCCTTGAGCGAAGCTCGATGTTTGCTCCTGACCGCGTGGAGCCCAAGCAGGCCACGCGGTCTGAGCTGGATACATTACACATGGATTCTCTATTGGCATTATGGATCCTCTATTGGCAATTATGTACTCCATTATCCCCTATGGGCAAGCAACCTCTCCATTATTCCCTATGTGCAGTCATGGATTCTCTATTGTCAATTTTGGATTGTCTATTGACAGTTATGTACTGCACTATCCCCTCTGGGCAAGGGGATACTCTCCATTATTCTCTATGGGCACTCATGTATCCCCTGTGGGCAATCGCTGTCCTTAGTTTTAGTACATCCCCCAGAAAAGCAATACAGCTCATATAACAATCTGTGTGGCATAAGGTTATGTAACTCTACCCCATGACAAGAAATCTACATTTACAAGTCAGATCTCCTGTGTTCTGTGCTTTGGTAGTTCCAGTCCAGATAAGCATAGCCCCTTGGCAATTGCACTTTGGGTTCCACAAGGATCTGTTACATTTCATCTATGTGAAACCACTGCTTGAGATCATTCAACGATATGGGACGAAGTGCCATAATTATCCTGAATCACATCTGGTGGAAGTGGAACCTACATGTTTGGTAGCACTATATCATATACCTGACGAAGGGAGCTTTTACTCTGGAAAGCATATACCCCGGAATTCTTCTTTGTATTCCTGGTCTCTAAGGTGTTTCTGGAGTAGAATCTAGCTGTGGCTCAAGTGGTTAAGACGCTGAACTGCAGGCTGTGGAAGGTCAGTACAGCAGTTCGAGACCTGGGTGCCGCATGATGGAGTGAGTTCCCATCTCTAGTTCCAGCTCCTGCCATCCTAGCAGTTCGAAAGCAAGAAATTGCAAGTAGATAAATAGGTACCACTTTGGTGGGAAGGGAACAGCGTTCCGTTCGCCTTGGTGTTTAGTCATGCCGGCCACATGACCACGGAAACGTCTTTCGACAGCGGCTCTTCAGCTTTGGAACGGAGATGAGCACCGCAACCCTAGAGTCCGCTTCGACTGGCTTTCGAACAAGGGAACCTTTACCTAACACAACCACTCTCTGTGAAACTATCTTAGTGAGGGAGGTAGAATGGCCATCGTTTTCAGCTCCGACGGATTGAGAGCATATTCAAGGTTTACCCTGTGGCTGGAAGGGAGATGTTGAATTATACGGCCCACCCACCCCAGAGAGGTAATGGAATAACTCTGCACAGTCCTGCACTAACAAAGCATCTTCCATATGCACCTTTTCCTTCATGCAGTTTCCTCTCTTATCCCCGGTGAGCTCCCCATTTTCCATTTCCAACAGCAAGCAAAGCTACCAACCCCAGCCAAAGTTTTCCTCTCAACCAAATCAGCTGCCTTATCCTAAACAAAGCGAAATCCCACCCTCTTGCCTGCTTCTGATTCGCCGCCCACAATCAAGCGGGCGAAAGGGAAACGGGTCTCTCGAGGCGGTTCTTTCGAGGGCCAAAGTCCTTCACTAGGGACGGAGATGGGAGGAGATGAAAGTTTGGGCGGACGTGGAGTTTGAGGCTGCACGCAATGGGGATGGCAACGTGAGAGGCGGGGCGTTCGCTATAAACACAGCCGGGGTAGTGACGTGTGAGTCTCGGGACCGGAAGTAGGGGCGCTCTACAATGGCGGGAATGTCGGCTGCGGGAGGACGCCAGCAGCTGATGCGAGACCTGGATAACGTGAGTGTAGAAAATGCCTTAAAGCCTGCTCCTGGCATATGTTGTGCATGCATGGGTTTGTGACCAATCTCTATAAAAAGGGGGGGGGGGGGGAGTGAAAGGAGTTGCAGAATCGTTTGATTTTGCTGAGTGCTTTGTTGGATAAAGGCTGGTGGGTGTGGCTTCTATTGGGTATGTAAAGTCATGTTACTTTTTAGTTTTAAACATGTGATAAGGTTCCTGTAAGATGTACAGGGCATATGCTCAAGTATGTTAAAAAAATCTTTTGGGAAGTGTGTATGGCTCAGTGGTAGAGAATGAGCTTTACATGCAGAATGAGCTTTACATGCAGAATGAGCTTTACATGCAGAATGAGCTTTACATGCAGAATGAGCTTTACATGCAGAATGAGCTTTACATGCAGAATGAGCTTTACATGCAGAATGAGCTTTACATGCAGAATGAGCTTTACATGCAGAATGAGCTTTACATGCAGAATGAGCTTTACATGCAGTGGTAAAGAATGAGCTTTACATGCAGGTTCGATACTTGGTGTTTCCTGTTGGAAAGTCTGGGTAGTAAGTGATGTGAAAGATTTTAGCCTGAGACCCTGGAGAGTTGCTTTCAGTCAGAGTAGGTAATAGTGCCTTTGACAGATCAGTGGTCTGGTTAGGTATAAGGTAGGCTCATATGTGGTGTTCTGATTTTAAGCTCTGCAGTTACTGTATTGTGTGGAGGGGGGTCAAGATGGGTAGTTGTGTTAGTCTGTCTGTAGTTGTAGAAAAAAGTAAGAGTCCAGTAGCACCTTAAAGACTAATAAAATCATGAAAGCTCATACCCTGCCACAAATGTTGTTAGTCTAGGCTTTACTTGACTCTTGCCCTTTTCAGCTCTGTTGCGTGTGTGGGGTTCACGTGACTGATGTTTTGTGGTGTCTGCATGTACAACTCCAACTGAGTTAACAAGGAGTTAGAATTGTTAGAAAGATGCTGAAGAGTTTTCCAAAGCTAAGCTGTGAATTCAGCCTTATTGTAAGTTTGAGTCTTGAGGTTCTCTGTGCGCCTGCATCTTTAGCTTCTCTTTTAAGTGTATGGTATCTTGTGAGCAGAGTAGTTTGGAAATATTCTCACTTCAAAGCTGAGCAATTTCAACTTGTATTTTACAAGAGAGTGATGAAGGTATAATGTAGGCTTTTATGTGCAGTGGTTTTCCTAGATATGGTTTTCCTAGATATGATAATGTTTGTCTGTTCTACTGATCCAGAGGTCTAACTAAATGCCATAAAAGTTTAGGTGACGCCTTCTAAGTCTAGCCCCCTTGGCTGTTTCTAGGGCTAGACTAGACATTCCTTTATAATCCTTTTATGCTGCATTTGAATTTTTCAGTGATAGACTCTAATAAGAATGCTGAGGAATACTCTGTGTAGACAGGGTAGATGGCTTAAATTTATGGAGATGGAGTTCTAGTTTTGTTAAAGGTGGGTAGCTCTTAAAAACATGAAAAGAACCATTGTAACACTTTGTAAGGTTAAAAATTGGCATGCTTAGTGTAGTTGCACCCAAGCTAGTTTAAAATGCAAATGCTCTAGGTAGAACTTGCTTATGTGCAGCTACGCAGATATAGGCAATGTTGGCCTGCCACCACAGTCTTCACTGTCCAGTAACAATTGCCCCACCTTCATTAATTTTGACTGTTCCGCTGTCAGCACTGATGGATTCAGTTCACATCACATGACTGTTGGGGCAGTGCTGTAACACACGTGTAAATGTAGCCAGTTTAGAGGTTCATCTTTTCTTCCTAATGTGAAGTTTCTTAGTTACCTGTACCAAATACCATGTTGTTAAATTTATTTCAGGGGTCTCTGGAGATAACACAAAGCATGGAGGATGACCCTCTACTTGAAGCCCCACTTCCACCTCATGCATTGCATTCCTGGTTGTGTCCAAAGTTCTATGCTATACCTACAGTCTGCTTTGCAAATATTTTGTTGCTGATACATGTAAGTTGTTATAATCCCTCTCTCTAGCCATCTACTGTGTGGGTGCAGGTTAGTATTTCCTCAGTTCCTTGGATAGTTTGTCTTGAATGAGTTTGTTTCAAATGACATTGGACAATCAAGACTTCTCTCTGCATGACAATACTGTGTATTCCTAAAGCACCTAAACACTAGGTATTACTCTTGGGCTGGATCCAACCAGTTTCCAACTAGTTTTTCTTATGCTACAAAATGCATGCGGGGGATCCCTTTTGACTACCAAAGAAGTTTGCACTGGAGATCATGGGACCTGCATGGATGGGGGTTACAATATGGAAGGAAACTGCATGAAATCTAATTAAAAAAATGACTAGCTTCTGTTTTGTTCCTTGGTCACAGTAAAATGTTAAGAGTAGGATGGGGTGGGGGGAACTGGCTTATTTGCAAGCATGTGTCTGCATAGGTATATCTCATGGTTGCTTCCTAATGGATTTAAGGCCGCCTAATGCGATGGTTCAAGTGGTTAAGATGCTGAACTGCAGATCAGAAGGTCGGTAATTCAGCAGTTCGAAACCCGAGTGTCGCATGACGGAGTGAGCTCCCGTCTCTGGTCCCAGCTCCTGCCAACCTAGCAGTTCGAAAGCAAGAAATTGCAAATAGATAGGTACTGCTTCGGTGAGAAGGTAACAGTGTTCCGTGTGCCTCGGCATCTAGTCATGCCAGCCACATGACCACAGAAACATCTTTGGACAGCGCTGGCTCTTTGGCTTGGAAACGGAGATGAGCACCGCATCCCTAGAGTCGGATTTGACTGGCTTTCAAGCAAGGGAAACCTAATGCCAGGCTAGCCCGATCTCAGAAGCTAAGTAGGATTGGCTGCGGTCAATATTTAAATGGGGGACCACTAAGGAATACCAGGATTGCAATGCAGAGGCAGACAATAGCAAACCACCTCTGAATGTCTCTTACCTTGAAAACCCCACAGGGTTGCCTTAAGTAACCTGTGACTTGATGGCAAAAAAAAGGGTTTGAACTGCAGCAGTTCAGGACCCAACAGTGTAATTGAAATGAACTGGTAAAGATGGGTCATAGTTTCACAAGGCAACCTGAGTAGAATCTGATTTAATATAGAGATTATTGGGTACACTGAAATGTTTAGGCCGAGCATTAAAATTCTAATGCTTTGGGTTTTTTTCCTTCCTAGGTTGCCTTTGTCATTCTGGCTTTCTTAGCAGGTATGTTCTGTTCTTATCCCGATGCAAGTGGAGATATGTGTCCCAGAAGTTACACATATCCACTTAAAGTGCAAACCACTGTAATGACTGCCAAGGTAATTCTCTGGCTTCTGTATGTGTTCCTTGAGCTATGTGTTCACTACCACCACAGTAAGGCCAGGCGCAGAGGCTATCTCTTAATCTACCAAAACACAAGGCATCTGAAGAGGCTTCCACTGCTAATTCAGTCTGCAGGTGAGCCTGAATTTATCATGCTTTTTCATTTGTCAGCTATTAAATATGAATAGACTGACATGGGTTGAATATGTAACATAAGCTGTTCCGCTGGAGTTATGCTATGGTCTTGTAGTGTTTCACTTGACTCCCTTAAAGTGAAACTTACAAAAGCAGTCGAGGGCTGCAGGTTGTGTCTAAATACATAGCCAGCAGGCACACTGGTATAGGGCAGTGAGAATTAGATATATAGATGAATACCTAAATAATGTGTGTCTGGGCTGCTCCTGGTCCAATAGGCTTTTTGCCACAGGCCAAGAGCCCTTTGTGTTTTTCCTTTTGGCTTATGTCCAAGGACTTGAGCATCTGGCCTCACTCAAGCTCACAACATGCCAGGGGAGAACAAAACTCTGCCCAGAAGGAGTTCAGCTGTTAACTTTCTGTCAGTATGATGTTCTTTCATGCGGTGTTAGCTGGTTGTAAGCATCACATAGCTGGTCTGCAAAAAGGTCAATAAGTCACTAGTTAGTACCACTTCAGTGGGAAGGTAACAGCATTCAGTGCGCCTTGGTGTTTAGTCATGCCAGCCACATGACCATGGAAATGTCTTCGGACAGCGCTAGCTCTTCGGCTTTGAAACGGAGATGAGCACCGCAACCCTAGAGTCGGATTCGACTGGCTTTAGAGCAAGGGAACCTTTACCTTTAATAGTTACCAATGAGGTCATGCTTGTCTCACCATGCTGCAACTTACCATTGCCCCTTTTGACAATTGGCCTTTAGAGGAGAACAAATCTGTGAGTAAACAGTGCTCATCTTTAGCTTGCTTGCCTCGGGATAGTTTCTTTGCACTGGGCTTAACCTTGTGCAAGAGGAAGGAAGGGGTCTTGAAAAGCACAATGAAAGCAAGGTATTGAGGTTTTAGTAAGGGCTGAAGTCCTTGCAGGACAGCCTGATGTGTGTTGCTGGGAGACGGTGTAGGAAGACAGCAGGACTGACTCCTTTTCCCTAGACTGCTCTGGCTTGTCTTGATTTCGGAAGTTGTAACAGTCATGCACTGAATTCCTTCTGTCTATCATAAATCATAACTGATTAACAAGCATAAACCTTGAGAATCTCACTGCAGCAAAAAAGATGTTCCCATTCAGTAAGGTATGTACATTAAGAGTAAAAATGTTTGAAATAATAATTTATACATCAGATAATCATCCTTGCATTGATCCACATAACAAGTTCTTGAGATTTAACTTATCAGTTTAATTTGGACCAGTGATAATGTGAAAGTAGCCACATTCTGTGTGATTCTCTTACTGTCTGCAAACAGAAGCCTATTCTTGTGAAGTAAATCATACAGCAGGAAAGAACATCCTAGTCACACTCAAAGATCTAAGACTCCAGTCCTGAGCACAGTTGCTTAGGAGTAGACCTCATTGAACTCAGTGGGACTATTAAGCATAGATAGGATTGAGCTACATTTTGTTTAGGATAAATGCATAAAAGATACTGCAGAATTCTGTTCATGCTGTAGTTTAGTTATAGACGCTTGTTGGTTGGGTTCTTTATTGTCAAGGCTTTGCATATGATATTGCAGAAAGTGTTGGCAGAAATCTGGTATAGGCTTTATTGAGCTCTGTAATATCTGGGCTTACGCATACATTCACCTCTTCAACTAGACCATGACTGTGTCCAGTTTATTACAAGACACATTCCTTGTTGAGCAGCACCAATTAACTAATTTAGATTTAGTTTTTAACTTGTTTAGCAGTAGCTTCTTTAAACTGCTAAATCTATATCCTCCACTTTGCAAGGCAGCTTTCTAAATTTCAGCAAAAAGAGACACAATAGAACAGCTTAAATCCAGCGATACAAAGCAATGTGTAATATCAGTTGATTAAAAAAATTGTAAGAGTGGCAGCCATAAAGCTTCTCAGAGGGCAGAAAGAATGAAACATGACTAAAATTGCCACCCAGCTACCACCATGACAATTGATTTTTGCAGAATTTACTTCATACATAATTTTCCAGGTTATAGATCATTGTTAAGAATTGGCCACTAGGTAGAGCTCTGGAGATGAGGAACAATCTTGGTTTCAAAGTAGGGCTCACAGCTAGAGACTTTTGATTATCTGAATTCACAGAAAAATCCTTCTCTAATTCTTAATTATTCAAGTATGTGAAGCAGCTGACAAATTTTCGAGCACCCTTGTGAAGTAGACATGCACTGGGCTTTTAAGTAATGTCAGAGTGTTCTTGATAGGGCAAGATCAGATTTGCCTAAAACTGAGAGAACATCAAGCAGGATTGATTTAGCTGTTTACCATCATCATGTTCTGGTTATCAGTTTCTTTCCAGAACAGTAACTGACATACATTACCTACTTATCCTGAGGGTGTCATATTCCTTAAGCAAGCAAGAACTTAGTATAAATTTTAGATATGAATTGGAGTCGGGCAGAGTTATAGAAATGCAGATTAAAGCTTTGTGCCTTAACATTTCTAGTTATTGATCTCTATATAAGTATAAGCTAGGACAAAGTTGGAGGAAGTGTATATCTAATGGTAGGGTTCAGAAAATTGAAAACGAATAGACGATCTGTATGTTTAGGTAATCCCTCAGCCAAGTATGCTGGTATTTTAAATGCAGGTGCTGATTATTTGTACACACATGAATGCACACATTTGTTTGTGACACAATTCCAGGTACCATTGTTGTGTTTGGTAATACTCCAGAAGAAAATAACACTGGTAATTTCTGTTAGTGGGATCCACTACTGCATGCATGTCCATCAAAAAGTTCAGTCTAATGACCTCTCGATTTATATGCAATGGCACTAGTGATTTGTTAGGAAAGGAATCCCGCTCTTTCATCTCTCCTGCAAGGACAAAGGTATCTCCAGTCAAGTGAATGGGCTGTGCATGCAGCATTTTTTTAGAGGGAACATGTGCAGCTTGTACACCTGTTCATTCGACAGCTAGATGTGACACAATTCATACGGCTTTTCTGTGTGTAAATGTGAATACTGGAGCAATTTAAAAAAAAATAACCAGATGGTTTGTCTTTCCTCCTGTAGGTAATGCGGGTTTACTTCTGATACTGTCAGTGCAACATTCCTTTCCTGATCACAATAAATTGTACCTCTGCTTCATCTTGGCAATCTTGACTGTGGAGCTGATTTGTTCGTTGATATGCCTGGTTATCTACACAGGTGAGAACTTGGGGCATGGCCTTGCTTTTTTGTAAACCACATTGTTACCTTGCTTTCTGAGATGCATTACTTAGGACTTTGTCCAGTCCTTTCTCAAAGGAGCTCAGGGTAGCATACATTAGTCTCTCCACCTCCATTTTTTTCTCAGAACAACCCAGTGAGGCTGGGAGTGAGTACGTCTGTGTCTGGCTCAAGGTCACATGACCCTCTGGGGAATTTGAACCTGAGTGTCCTAGCTGAACATTTTAGATAGTACACTAGGTGGCCTTTCCAGGTTGTTATCTCTTGTACTTCTGAGCACTAGAAAGCAAATAGCATAACTTCGAAGCTATTTGACTCTGTGATCTTGGTCTCTATGGTTGGTACTTATTCTCTACTATGTTAATAAATTCCAAATTATACATCTTTAATCAACACCAGAAAGGATCAAAGATGTCGAAGTTTACTTAAATATGTAGCTTTGTACTACTAAGAATTAAATACCCCAGTGATAAATCCCAAGCCCAAATTGATTTACTGACAATAAAGTTCTGTTTTAAAGTCTGTTTCCCCTTCTTAAAAGCTTGGGAGTTGAATGGCTTACACAGGATGTAGAATCCCAACTGTTGATACTGAAATTCCACAATTGACACTGAGATCCAGCTCTGAGGAAGACCAGCTGTTTAGAGAGGTCTCTTCCCTGGCACTAAAATGCAGCTGCATCTTTGCCCAGGTAGTAAAAGTACTTTCATCTTTGAACATCGCTTCTCAGCCTTTTGGCTTTTATCAAATGTGAACATATGATAGTAGCAGTGGGAAAGAGAAAATGGGCTGCTGTCAGAAGTTGCCTGATCAAATCAGAATTCATTCATTTAAGAAGTGTATATGCTGCTACTCCAGAGACCTGCTTGAAGCAGCTGGTTAAAATTCAAGTGCAACATGATGCAGGCTGTATACTAAAAAGTGCCTGGGTCTGTTTAATTGTGGGGTGGGAACTAAAATGGTCAAATGTGACAGTACTGACAGAGGCAAGAAGAATGTGAATTTTAATACAGAATGTGAATTTTAATACAATCTCTCCTGTATAATAAAGCTGTTTTGGTGTGACTCCTGGACACACTCCCACAGCCTTTGGCCCGCTTGGCTGCCACTCTTGCGGACTCCCAATCCCCTGGCTGCATTGCCTCGCTGCATTGGCTCCCCCCCCCCACGGAGCCAGCAGCCAGCGTCTCGCTCTCAGTCTGGAGGGAGCCAGTGAAGGGGATGGATGCTCCGCTGAGGGAGCAGCAACCCCTCCACAGGGGAGAAGGCGGCAGACCTAGCAAGTGGCAGCAAGCAGGGGAAGCACTCACCTTCGCTGCCCCTCGCGGCCCCTCTCCCTTGGCTACAAGGCTGGCACTTTGTCAGGGTGATAGCTCTGTGGGATGTACTGCAGAGAAGGCTGCGCAGTGCCTTTCAAAGGCTCCCCTGCCTTCTTTCAGCAGCGGCAGCATTGCCAGGATGGGTCTGGCCTAGAGGAAATGAGCTGCGGCTCCTGGAAAGCCGGACTCTCTCTTGGCTCCTGTGTGGGACTAACTGTCCCCTCAGTGGCTGTCGGTAGGCAACCAACTTCTGTCAGTAAAAAAACAAAGGACTTTCAGCATAACCCCCGCCCACTGCCAGCTTCGCCACTTTCCTGTCAGAATAAACTTAAAACAGCTCTCTCTCTGTTTTCGCTTTACCATGGCTGGCTGGCTAATGTGGTGGGCCAGCAACCATCAAACCATTCTCTTCAATCCCCTACTGTGCAGCTGCCCTTCCCCTAGGGTTGCCAGTCTCCAGGTGGGACCTGGAGATCTCCTGCTGTTACGATTGATCTCCAGATGACAGAGATCAGTTCCCCTGGATAAAATGGCTGCTTTGGAGGGTAGACCCTATGGCATTATCCCCTGCTGAGTTCTTCCATCTCCCCCCCCAATGCTGCCCTCCACAGGATCCACCCCCCAAATCTCCAGGTATTTCCCTAATCAGAGCTGCCAACTGTACTTTCTCTTCAGTGCCTGTTGCCAGGCAACCAGGTTCTGTCAGTAAAAGGCCCTTTCCACACCTATTTTGGCCTTTGGGAGAAAACTCATTGGGGCCAGTCCTGATAGAGTTGCCAACTCCAGGTGGGAAATTCCTGGAGATTTGAGGGATGGAACTTGGAGAGGGTAAGGTTTGAGGAGGGGTGGGACCTCAGACAGGTACAATGCAATAGACTCTATTCTCCAACCCAGCCATTCACTCATGGGGAACCATTGTTGCCAATCTCCAGGTGGGGGCTGGAGATCACTCAGAATTACGACTGCTCTCTGTGGGGGGGAGATGGAAAGCTGAAGCCAGGGGGCAGATAACGGTAGGTTGACGGTTGACTGGGAGGGAGATAGGGTTGCCAACTCCAGGTTGGGAAATTCCTGGAGAGGTGGAGCCTGGAGAGTGTGAGGTTTGAGGAGGGGTGGGACCTCAGACAGGTGCAATGCCATAGACCCCACCCTCCAAACCAGCCATTTCCTCATGGGGAACCATTGTTGCCAATCTTCAGGGGAGGGATGGCGATCACGCAGAATTACAACTGCTCTTCAGATGGCAGAGATCAGTTCCCCTGGAAAAAATGGTGGACTCTGTCATCATACCCTGCTGAGGTCGCCACAGCAAATTGATGCTAAGTGCCCAAGGCTGCGGCACTCTCCCAGAGCCTCTTTCTAGAGCTTGTTGTATTTATTTCCACAACGAGCCTTGTTCCTAGTGTTAAATATTGCAGAGAAAGAACGAGAGGGATAAAGAATGTGAATCTTAACACAATCTTAAGTATTGTAGAGAAAGAATGGGGACGTGGCACTGATTCTAGAGGAGGTGATAGCATTGGCTTTCTGTGGTACCAGTAGAAAATAAGTGCAGCCGTGCTGGATCACAACATATAGTGCAGTAACCTGTTTTCATACAGTGGCCAATCAGAATCCCCCTGCAAAGCCTAAAAGCAGGGCAGAAAGGCTCCCATTGTTGCCTGGTCCAGCAACGGTATTGAAGGGTGCTGCCTCTAGACATGGATGTGTTAACAAAATTGATATGTGACTGTGAGGAACCCTTCTCAGGTAAAGGGAACCTCAGGAGCCCAAACCTTTCCCGACAGGTATGAAAGAATGGCACCAATAGCAGGGTTTAAAAATGAAATAAGAGGAAAGATTTATTCTTAATGAAATGCAGGGAAATGGGGAAAAGGTTTTATGAGAGCAAACAGTTGGCAACCAGCAAGTGCCCGCTACAAACACTATTAACAATGTTTAGGCTTTCCCAAACTCAGGAAGAACTAATAAAATTATAAACCCCATCAGAAGGTTCCTTACAATAAGCAGGCAGTTGTGATACTAGTGAATTTATACCACCATTAAACCAGGGTTCCCCTGGTTAGGCTCTGAATCCCAACTAGTCCCTGTGTGAGTGGATGTCTTTCTCTTTTTTAACCTGGGTCTGACCTTTTACTCTGACAAATCCCTTCAGCAGAGTCTGCTTTGCCCCTCTCTCTGGGACATCCTGCCACTGTCTCCCAGATTGAGTGTTTTCTCTCTGAAGGCAGCCACTCAAAAGGCCCCCTCCTCCATTAGATTCACTCTCTCCAAAAAGAAGCCCTCCAACCACCCTTCCAACTGTCAGCTCTCCTTCCCCCCAGCCCCCTGCTGGATCCTTCCGTTGTCCTGGAGGCGACTCACCAATCAGAGTGAGCCTCTGCTACTACCTCCCCTCAGAGTGGTTTCATCACAGTGACATCTTGCATTAAAGCATGCACACTCTCTCTAATTTAAGATGGGAGCTTGAGTACTGAGGTGCCGTGTTTTTTTAAAAGTAGCTGAGATGCTGTTTGTTGGCAATCCAGTGAAATTTTGTCCCCATTCCTTTTGTGCAGGTACATGAATACCTGCATTAAGCCTCAGATTACCCTGTGTTGGGTTCATTACTAGATTACTAGATTATCACAGCAAACAGATGTGGCGAATATAATGGCACCAATTGCATGCTGCAGATGGCAATGCTTTGTGAAGGCAAGAATTATGGGCCCTATTCTACAGTCAGTGGTGAAGAGCTGCCTCTTGTTAACAGGCTATGAATGGAGACTTCTTCCCATAACTGAATGAGTGCATAGGATGGCACCACTATAATACGAGCAAATTTGTGCTTCTGTGGCTGTCCAGTATTCTTGGCATAGGACATCTAGGGAATTTTCCAGAATTCATGGTAATCATAATAAGCATTAAATAGTTTAAGGGTGTTCAGAGTGCTTCATGAGTACTTGTGATAATCCCAAGACCAGCTCCGTAAGGTCACTTGGTCTTTCAACATCACTAATGATGTAGGCTTGAGGGGTGTTGTGGCTGAAGAAGGTAGTGAGTTGGATTTTGCATCCTTCAATAGTGCAGGCATTGCTTTGACCTCGATAGCCCAGGCAAGCCCAATCTCATCAGATCTCAGAAGCTAAGCAGGGCCAACCCTGGCAAGTATTTGGATGAGAGACCTCCAAAGAATACCAGGGCTGGGAGGCAGAGGCAGGCTATGAAGCCACTTCTCCAAAGTCCTCCATGTTCCAGTAGGAATCACCAGAGGTCACCATGACTTTCAAGCACAAACAAATGCAAAAAATACCCACCCACCCCAGTAGTGCAGGTGTTTGGGTCCTATGTAAGTAGTGAGTTGGAATTTGCATCCTTCGATAGTGTATTATGTAATCAGAGCGGAATTAAATGTGCCATTTATGGACTGATACTTTTATGTTTGAAACATTGAATCAGTTGACCCATTCCCAGTTGCATCTATAGACAGCTTCTGAAACTAAGGTCCCAGGGGAGGGACGGATCGGGGCCACAGCAAACGGGCGCAATCTCACTGCAACATCTGGGAAGCGGCGCACGCCCGTCTCTGATCTGTCCCTAACCCCAGAAACCCCGCAGCAAAAAAGAACCACTGACAGAGGTGGTCTTCCCTGAATGGCCGTGGGATCGCCGGCGTGTCCTTCTGCCGGCACATCCCCGGCTCCTGGCCGAACTGCGCATGCAGACGCATGCGCAGCCGGCTGCCTCGGTCTCCCGACTGTGGCTTCCTCCCCGGCATCTGATCGGGCCGGGGAGCAACGGCGCCGCGGCTCAGGGGATCCGTGTGATCCCGCTGCAGCGTGTCTATTTTGGTGCGGCTTCCAAAAGCCGCACTTTGGGCGTGCATTCCCCCCCGCCCCGTGTGGCAGGGGCCAATGTTTCTTACCTTTCTATTATCTCAACAGTAATTCACTTAGCTGTGCCTTGCACTAATGAATTAAATTTAAGCTCTGTTGAAAATCAGTGAAGAACTGCATTGTAAAGGAAGTTATAGGTTTGCTATAATCTGTTATTCTGTGTAGTAGTTTTGATTTTAGCCCTTTGTAGCATATGGTAGCTGTAAAGTGTTCAACACCTTAAGGAAAATATCTGTTTAATAACAGTAAAATGTAGAGTGCCTGTGTATTGTTGATGTTAAAGGTGCTTATCAGTTCCCACCCTTTACTATGTATAGATAATTCTTTCAGAAGTTAGGGTCTACGTTCATACTTGGGTGGGCCTTTTTTTGGACATTGTCAGTTTGGAGAGCCAGTGTCAGACTAGAATCAGATACCCAGTTTTGCTTTTGTTTGCACACTCTCCATGGAAGCTTGCTGGGTGATCCTGGTCCAGTCACACATTCTCAGCCTAACCTACCTCACAGGGTTGTTGTGCAGGCAGAATGATGAAGAGAACAACGTAAACCATTTTAGGTCCCCACTGTGAACAAAGGTGGGCTATAAATGAGGTAAACAAAACAGTAGCTGAATCAGCAGGTCAAAAATCCTTTACACATCCTTTAAATATGTTTCATAGTACAGAAAGATTATACATCTGGTTTGATACCCAGTAGCTGAATCTTAACTTCAGTTGATTAACTCATGAATAGTATATAAATATTTTAATCTGGTTTTAGAACAGTTATTTCTCTTACTGTCTCGTTCCACGAGATAAGGTTGTCAAAATGAAGCTGTTTCGCTGATTCAGCTGTGGAACGAGGATCCATATGGATTCTTTGGTGTTTCTTCCTCCCCATGGAGGCCACTCTAGTTACCGGGCTTTATTGTGTAGCCAGGAGATACACAGGAGATAAACAATAGAAGGTGCTCTTTAATCCTGAATTAAAATGAATCCATGGGAGAGTCCGGTTAAACCGGAGCGGAGAGGATAAAAGTAGAAAGATAAAAAAGAGCAAGCTGATTTCCAAAAGGCATCCAGTGGCCAGCCACCATCTTTCCCCTATGCCCATTCGACAATGACATTTGATCTCAGTACATAGCGCCAGTCCTATCAACTCTACCAGGAAGATCAGAACAGCTTTACATTTCCCTCCTTCTCTCAGATTCCTCTCAGGAGATAACAAATAAAGTAGCTAAATTTTGCCTTCGGGCATGTGGGAAATGCATGCAGCTGATGGAGTCTTAATAATAACCTCCCTGTCTCCGTCCCTTCACAATCAGCACTCAATCTTATATTTTATTCTATATTTTAATTTTATTATTTTTATCCTTATCACTGATCTTGTATCAAAATAAACTTTGAACCGAACAGTTCTTTCTCCAGCCACTTGTCTAATGTCACAAACTTACTAGTCATTAAGGTGCTACAGGGCTCTGGTCCTATCCTTGAAACATCCTAACTAGTCCTAAAAGGTCTGGACTGTATGGTGAAGCATCTTTCTGTAGCGTCATGTTAAACAAGTTAAGGAATGAGTTTCCTGTGATCTTCCAATACCACCCACCTACCGAACTTCTATTGAAACTGTCCCTTTGACTCTGTTGGGACACCTGTTGGTCTTCAGTGTCTTTGGCTGCATGTGCTGAGGTAATCTGATCAGGCCGATAACTGAATTTGAGATGGATGATGACTTCTGTGAGCCATTCTTGCCTTGATTACTTTACTGCTTGCTGACAGGACTACTTCAGCTATTCCTCTGATCAGTCATGCCAAACTGCTTGCGCACAGCAGGTGGCCTAGTGAGGCAATTCTGGAAGGGATTGGAAGAAACCCATTCACAGGGAGATGCTGACAGAGTAAATGAAAATAAAACATTGTGTTGGATGGTGGAACTTCTTAAAAAGAACCTGCACCCAGATCTGTACTGCAGTCTGACTGAGTTTGTAAAGACAATCCGTATTAGTTTAAAGAGCCATACACAGAAATGAGTAGTTCATTTATTGCTTTAAACAGTCTCAACATAGTTTCTCTACACAGAGAGGTCAGAACTGACCCTAAGGGAATAACAGACATTTCTAATCTGTACTATTCTATTCTCCTACAATAACAGTCATTTTTTCTAGTGTTAATTTCCTTGTGCCCTTTTATTTGAGGCACTCAAATGACATTGCTGCTAATCCCCAATTTAAGCGAATGCGGAGGAATGCAGCACCTGAGGTGTTTCCTCTCCACCTCCATCCCAACATAACAAACCTATCACATGTTTTGACCTGGGCTACAAGTCCTCTGTAGAACAGAACGAGAACAATCTGTACAAAAGTTTCAGCATGTTGTATCAATATCAAACTATTCCTGAGTAGCTTTTTCCTTTTTTGAATTATAGTGAAAGTGAGCAACTTTAACCGGGCGAAACCCAGACCTGACATCATAGAAGAAGAAAAGATGTATGCGTATCCTAGTCGCATTACCTCAGAAGTTGGATTTAGGTAACATCCACTGTTCATGCTTCAGTTACACCCTGTGTATAACACCCAGCATCACTGGATGTCAATTGTGGCTGCACAGTTACTAAAGGAATAGCAGTTTGTTTCTCTGATTAGTTGGGTATTGTCAAAGCAAATGATTTGCCAGGCACACTTGAGCTACAGTTGATGGTCTGATAGAGCTTAGCTGTACATATCTCCTGGGTTCAGATGTGGCTTCTGACTTTGGAACTTTATATGTAGTACTGTATTGCCATTTTAAGCATTATCTCAAACGATCCAGGCTTATGCTCTTCTCTCGTTACCCCTTACATTCAGAATTATGCTGTATTGGTATGGAACTAAGAGCTTGCAGTGTCACAAGAGTCTTTAATCTAATATTGAAGGACAGTTAAATCTCTAAGAATGATTAATCCATTTCTGGAATTAATTGGTAGCCCTAGAACTGCTTTATCTTTAAATGTAAAAGGCATCTTTCTGTGAGCTGATGAGATAAGCTGCTACCAGGTTTTCTTGATCAGCCATTCAAGCTGTACATCAAATGCAAATAGGGCGCTTCTCAACTAAGAACATGTTGTCCAGAAAAGGACCAGATAAATAAGTTAATGTTTTTCATATGTCTGTATCCAGAAGACTTAGAAAGAGTGATAGCCCTAATTTTGTTCTGTTACCTTTTTTTTGTAGCATAGAGCTGGATTTTGATGTTGCTTATACTCGGAATAATGAACATTTGGTGATGTTCAGTCTCTTGGAAACCTAGCCCACCACCTCAGCCTAGAGCTCCAATTTAAGTTAATGTATTATTTGTGAGAGAGGGAAAGGGAAACTTGCAGTGAGAAAACCTGTGTACGTAACAGGCACAGAGGGCTATGGCCTGAGGTGACAATTTTATTGATGACTACTTGGCTCCAGTGAATACAACAGCAATTAATATTTCTGGTAAAAAAATGCATAGTATTGCACAACTGCAAGTGTGTGAGGAAGAATGTTTGTCAGTCTGAGCCTAGGAAAAGGAATGCTGCTTCTGACCTGACCTGGTAAAGCAGTCAAGTTGCTTATTTGTAGCCAGTCTGCAAGCCCTGCCTGTTGGAGCTTGGTGCCATTTTCCCGTTTCATCTGTCATCTTTTCTCCTCCCTCTCCACTTAACAGCTGGTGAGAAAGTTTCCTAGAGTTCCCCAAATCCATATGATGTCTGACAGGAGCAGGCAGGCTTTGTGTGCAGAAATGAATCTTTTCCTGTGTGTAGGAAGTTGTGATTTCCTTAGGAGGTCTTGTGCATAGGGGGGGAAATGGTTGCCTCCCCCTCCCCCCATGAATTGCTACAGAAGGGAGGGCAGCTACCCCGATCTGTTCACTTTAAGCAGGGAATCTCTGGAGTGGCAGAAACTGATCAGCCGTTCCCCTTTCCTCAGCTGGAGGAGGAGGAGGAGGAAGCAGTCCTTGGGGCAGCAGCTGACTTTCATCAAGCTGTGCTGTCAGTAGTTAAAACTTAATGAACACAAGTCCCAACAGTTGCTTAACTTGCCATTCATATTGTGTTTTGTGTCCAGAACATTCATAACAGCCACAGTCCTGTAGTTTTCCAGAAGCTGACTGTGCTGATAGTATCGTCTTATGTCTGCAGATGGGCTTATAGGAAGGCAACATTTTAGCAGCTTTCCTGTAGTTATATGCAGTTGATGAGGAGGCTTGCTTCTTGCTTGCACGGCTATAGTTCAGTTCAGTTTATTTTGATATAAAATCAGCTTAAAACCTTGTCACATACAATACTAGGATCAGCAAATGGATGTAAACCTTGTCACATACAATACTAGGATCATCAAATGGATTTAAAGATGTGATTATAGTCCAGCCTTGTTTAAGGACTTAACCATCTGCTTATGTATAGTGCATGCCCTCATACAAAATAGTGACATTGTGAGTTATTGCTGAAGAAAGATTGGAGAGAAGCAAGGAGATGTGGAACTGTTCTGATCTTCCTGGGGAGTTTACTAACACTGGTGTGACATATTGTGAGTGAATGTCACTATAGTAGGAGCAGTACAATATTACATGCTCTACATTTGGCCAGGGACACACCTGTTGTGTATGACAAATACAGAGGTATCTGCCTTCCAGAAAGGCTGAGGGCAGAGTGTTGGTGCATGCCAGAGTAAATATTCTTCGGTATGTAGGGACTCTGCTTTCCAGAAAGGCTGAGGGCAGAGCGTTGGTGCATGCCAGAGTAAATATTCTTTGGTATGTAGGGAATTCTGGTGCTGTTAAATCTGCCAGCAAGAAAGGTTTTTGAAAAGGTATGTTACTGTAGGATGCCACTGCAGCCAGGCCCTATCATACTGAAGGGTCAGGTCCCAAATCTGTTGCTTTTCTTTGGCTTTCTGAAAGTCTAGATGTAATAGGGCTAAAGGGTGAGAAACCATACTCTTGCAATTTTCCTTCAATAGTTCTCAGCCAATTTGAGCCATGGTTATCTCTAAGAATAAGAGGGGTAAGCTCCTGAGAGTTACAGTTTAATTTTAACCAGTAAGTGGTTATCTTGAACCCACATGTGTGCCTCAAGTGAAACTATCCCTGCCTCCAGCCTGAGGAGAGCATTTGGTATACATCAAGGGACTCCAAATATTGACCACAAAAACTTGGATTGTGCTTCCAAGGGGTGAAGAGCTTTGTAACGACAAAGCTGGGAGCCATACATTAGTTGGGCAGTCGCCTCCCCCTGGAAAACCTTGATTGCTGCAGGGATATAGGAAGCCCCTTTTCTCAAGAAGAATCTCAGAATGGCTGAGGTCGTTCTGAGGGCATTCTCAGCCATATGCAGTGCTTGGGCTCTCCATGACCCTGTTGATTGAAGAAGAAGAGATTGGATTTATACCCCGCCCTTCACTACCCAAAGGAGTCTCAGAGCGGCTTACAAACTCCTTTCCCTCCCCACAATAGACACCCTGTGAGGTAGGTGGGGCTGAGAGAGCTCTGACAGAAACTGCTCTTTTTCAAGAACAGCAGTGCCAGCAGGTGCAAGTTGAGGAGTGGGGAACCCAGTTCTCCCAGATTATAGTCCGCGCACTTAACCACTACACCAACCTGGAGGACTATAGACCTAAATATTTATTTATTTGATTAAACCTCCACCATGGAGTTAATATAGAAGTTAAAAAGTCGGGGTGCCAAAATACATTTCTGTTTTATTCCTTTTGCCAGTGGGACCCTACCAGACAGGTGGCCCTGGGGGCTGCATCTTACCCTAAGAGAATTACTTTCATGTAGCATGTGAATAAATACATATACTCTTTTATCAATTGTAGAGTTCTCAAGCTTAACCTATAGCCTGTGTCTGGGGATACTATCAAAGGCAGCTTTGAAATCAACAAAAGCGGCATATAGTGCCCCTTGTGGCCTAGAGCTCTATGCCTCTGCTAAATGATGCAGTATCGAACATTGATCTGTGGCTGAGTGACCAACACTAAAACCCGCCTACTCCTCTATTAATATATTTTTTTGGTCCATGCAGTCCCAGAGTTTCCAATACAAGTGTCTGGAATAAAGCTTGCTAACCACACTAAGAAAGCTAATTGGGCAGTAATTTGAAGGGTCTGTCCTTTCTCCTGTCTTAAATATTGGGACAATGACAGCCAAGCCCAGTCCCTGGGGATCTGGGCTGAGTGGTCAATGTGTGTGAAAAGCACAGCCAATGTTGCTGCTCGCCAGTCGATATCGGTTTTCATCAATTCCAGGGAGATTATATCGCTTCCGGGAGCTTTCCCTGGATTCCGCAGCATTACTAGTTTTTTTAAGCTTGGGCGCCATAACAGGAGATCTCCTAAAAGGTGGTCTTGAAGGTATGTTAGAATGGAAACAACCCTAAACTCTTCTTGCACGGCTATATTCAGTTACAGGTCCAGGATTCCTCATATGTAATTTGTATGCAGTTACATTTTATGTAGACATTATTCTGAATGTACATGGTGTAACCACCGGTAGCATTCATTATACAATGCTTATGTTACAGCCTTAAGTATATAGCGTTTGCTTCCTTTATAGGTGCTGTCCCATTTTGGCAGTTAGCAAGTACCACACTGTAGGCCCACCGCATGAATAGGATGGAAATGTCAGACTTTGAAAAGCCATTGTAGTTACATTCTCATGACTTCGTAGATGTACTCACTGAGAAGAGCTGATCAGTAAATGGGTCTTAATGGGTCTTGGAGGTTCTGCTTACCCTTTTGGTCCCATGTCAGTTTCTGGGGTAGATGATGAGATTGAACGAAAGAAATCTGGGTTTGGCTCTCTGCTGGAAAATCAGTTTGCTAGTTCCTGTCACATGGGAATTATCCAGGATGACTGCTTGGTGATGCAAGGACCTCTCCTCTGCAAAGTTATCCATACAAGCTTGCATCTATATAGTTATCCAAGGTAGGCTTTCTGGTGATGTGAAAAAAACCCCAACTGTGTATTGTACAGACTAGCATTAAGATGAATTGTTTCTAAAGTTTGTCATATTCTACCTTAATATCCATATCTATTGCAAGGTACAGCTATTCTGTTTTTTTTCATGAGCTCTATGCAAAGAAGGGCTAGGGATATAGGAGTAGGAAGAAACCTATTGGTAAAGGAAGCTTATAACTTGGTTTGAATTTTCTGCCTTTCAGGGAAACATCAGTGTTGGAAGAAATAGTTGAAAAACAAGGAGACGTGATAGAATACCTTCAGCGGCATAATGCTCTACTCAGCAAGAGACTGCTGGCATTAACATCCCAACAGGCCAGAAGTTAGTGGTGTCCCAGAAACAGTGCAAGAACATTATGAGAAATGCAGCACCAATATAGGCACTAAATGAGAGCAGTAAATGCTTTGTATGCAAGTTGAACAGCAGCATTCCCGGTTCTTCACCAGTTGGAGGTATTCTGGCTTTTTCCTAAAGCTTCTGGATATTGACATGAATTTTGAAGGGTTTCCTAAAATTCCTGCAGTGTGTAAAACCAACATTAGCTAACGGAAAACCTCTTGAGTTTCTCAAGTTCAAACTGATGCAGACTGCCAAAGATCTTCATTCGGTGTTTTATGAAACAAATTTGTGGCAAACCTCCTCACTCCTAGAGTGTCAGAACAGTGCTCAGTTTTTGTTCATTTGTATAATAATCAGTAGCTCATCGTGTAAAATGTTTTATAAAGGGATTGAGGATGATTACAGTGTCTGTGCTAAAACTGGTATGGATGAAGACCCCCGGACAGTGACTGACTCTCATAGGATAGGCTGCTGAGCAGAGGCCCAATACCCTAATGGCAGTGTTGCCACTCGAACTGTGCTGACTTGCTGAAGTTCTGTCCATATGTGCGCTAGTTACACAGCCTTGTGAGGTTAGAGGTGGATGACCCAAAAGGGAATGAACACTACACACATGCAAGTGAGATGGAGCAGAGGAGTGAAAGCTTGTAAGGAAATAGATGCTCAGATATTTCATATGCCAGTAACACATGCAGTTTATCTCAACTGCCTGGTTATTCCTCTTTATGTCTTCAAAACAGGGGGTTACTACGCATAATTAAGGGAAGGTATCGATGTATGTTTTAAGGACATGCATATTAGCAACCAGTATACAAATGCTTGCTCCCTCTGTTGATGACTTGGTATGGAAACTCCAAGAGGTATTTCACCTTATATGAACAATGTTTTAAATATCTCTAAATTTTTGAAACAAAACCACTTGTGATGTGTCCCGTAAATGGGATACATTTACACACCTTTCAGCTTACTGCATATTTGGGTTGTACATGCTTCAGTTATGCTACAATGTAAAATTCACTACATGCAGTATGGAATCCTACCATTACAGCTACTACTTTTTTTTTTAGTTTATGGTAATACCTAATCATTGCCAATTCTTAATGTTAGTATTTTTATCCCAAAGCCAAGTGGTTCATAATCAAGGAATTTATAGGTGCTTATTAGCCTTGAATGTCTAATCTCTGGATTTGTGAATTCAGCAGAAGTGCCTCTGGGACATGTTCTGCTCTCAAGTTAGTTCTCCATCCAGTCATCATCAGCTGTCTGTGTGGTGTACTTTTGGCTGCCAAGACTCGTGTGTATACCCTATCCAGTATTTCTGTGGGAAGGCATATATTGAAAAGAGGGTTCTCTGATTAAATATGGGCTGTGGTCATCCTTAGGAAGAACAAAGGCATGCTACCCTGTTATACTTGATCTGAGCTGACTATTAATGCACTGCTTCTCATTGAGCAGAGCATTCAGTATTGTTCAAAGGAAGCAAAAGCAAACTGGAATTGACTGCTTCTAACATGTCTGTTACTTTTTAGCAGTGTATTAAACACAGCTGGGATTTTATAGGGAAGAAGAACAAACATGGATAACTTTATTTTTAAAGCACACTCAGGTTTTGATATGATTTATGTGGAACTTGTTCTTGTTCTTTGTTTTGTAATAAACACAGTGAAATAATAAATTCAATATCTTGCTTGACTGTATTTGTTAGAGTCCTTGCATCTGAAGCACAAGGGCCTTTTAGCTGTAGTAAACCTGTGTATTGATCTTGTGGCTCAACAGAGTAACTTTCTGCTAGATGTCCAATCCTATTAGAAAGCTAACATCCACTTGAAAGCGTTTTCCATCATATAATGCTCAGTATTTCCATGGTTATAGACAGGTCTAACATGACCAATTATTGGTTGCTATAGTGTATTATCTCTAAGTAGTTATCCAGTCAAGTATTATAATGGAACACTAGGAATCCATACAAGAATTGCTAGTATTACATAGAGCCATCTAACTAGATTGCAGTACATGGTCATATCTTTATTTGTTAGCACTTTCAATCATAATTAACCCGATTGATTTTAGAAATTAGACTTGGAGACTTGGTTTTGGTTATAGAAACTAATTTTATCCCAATCATCTTTCCTAGTGTAGCAGTTGGAACAGAATCCTTATTTCTGAATTAAATTTATTCTGTGTTGTGGCTTGAGAACTAGAGGTTCCTTAAGGAGAATTCTCCTGTTTTGTCTTGCATGAGGCCTAGTTTCTCTTCTGGAAATACCTCTTCCTGGGTGTCTTTCTTCAGGTTGAACTCCGTCCAGAAGGAAGGAGGGAAGAAAGGGATGGGTATCTGAACCAGAGATTTTCCAATATGTCCTGATTCAAATTCTAATCCCATTGACTCCAAACTAAGTTTTGGATGAACGGGGGGGGTGGAGACCAGTGTTCCTTCTAAGCTGAGTTAGTGTGAGCTAGCTCACAGTTTTTTAGCCTCTGGCTCACACGTTTTTGTCTCAGCTCAGGAACGATGGCTCCAGAGCAAACTAATTTATGCAGCAGCCAAATCTCCTGCTCACAACTTTAATGCCAGTAGCTCACAAAGTAGAATTTTTGCTCACAGGGCTCCACAGCTTAGAGGGAACATTGGTGGAGACTCAAGATCAGTGGTGATCCTCTGCAGATTGCTGTTTCCTCGGGCTGCTGGGAAGATCTATTCCTGGAACTTTGTGTATCTCCCTTGCCATTCTACTGCTAACCCACTCCACAACTGAGAGTGCATTATGCCTACGATGGGGGGGGGGGGTACTACTTTTCTTCCACAGCAAGAGTTACATTTAGAGAATGAGAACCGTAGGTAGTTCTGTGATTCCCCCTCATTTCTATTTAACATTCAAGAACCCACTCTGGTTGAAAGCAGTAACGAGGAGTCCACAGAAATGCATCTCCCACATCCATGTATAACTGTGGGGAATTCCCCTATCCTTCACATAACCCTGGAGCTAGGAAAGTTATTTATTTTCTCTTCACTGGGGAACCCAAAGCGGGTTACATCATTGTTCTCCATTTTATCTTTGCAACTATTCTTTGAGGTAAGGTAGACTGAGTGTGACTGGCCTGAGCTCATGCGGTAAGCTACCATGGCAGGATGGGGATTTGAGCATGGGTACTGATTTCTGAGATTCTGCAAGGCTCAGCATAACATGAATGACTCATCTCTAATAGAGAGCTGAGGAGGAAGGTAGGGGCTTGCCGCCACAGTTGTCTTGAATGTCCTTTCAATACCCTCAGATGAAATATCGCAAGCAAGGATTCTATCTCTTAGTTGAGGGGTGTGCACGACTTTTCTGGCCTACCACAGTCAACCAAAAATTTTGGACTTCTGCTTGAACATCTGAGCAAGTAAATGAGTGTGCGGGACTATACCAGTTTAAAACACTTAAACTTGCAGGATTTTTTGGGTAAGCATTAGAGATGCATCCAAACATGTGCATTCTAGAAGAGAAACCGAAAGGTAGAAGGAAAGCTCCATTCTGTCTCTGTTTGGATAGTTTCTGAACTGGCACTTAAAGCTTGATGGTTATTAAGCTAAGAATCAATATTCCTATCCTCTCAAAAGGGATCTGAACCATGATGTGATTCCCCCTCACCAGATGATTAATTCCCCAGATGATTAATTCTGTTTGTAATGCAGATGTAGACATTTGCAGTGGAATTTTGATTTGGGATGTTCAGCCCATGAATCCATGAAGTATCACTCTCATGTTTGGAACCTGACAATGAGGAAGTTTTTAAGCTGACCTTTCCTCATATTGCTTATTATGCAGTTCACAGTGCTGTCCTATGCAGTTATTCCAGTCTATGATAGTAGAAATCAAGAAATTACCCAATATTTATCCTTCTAAATGGGAGCGCATTGTGATTAGAAAGTTGTTATGAGACCATACTTGTTTCATGGAATGTGGCTTACCAATCAGTTGACTCTTTTGGAAGTCTTGGGGTCATTGATGGGATTCCTAATTGTAGCCCCAAACTGGTGGTTCAGTGTCAGCTAAGGCTGCCATGGTATGGAATGTCTTCTTGTCTCCTTCCTCCCTTTCCCCCTTCGGCTGCACTCTGTTATCTGTCCAGTGTCCTTGAAGGTTTTACTCTGCCTGCTCCTAGCTTCCCGCTGGGAATGTAGCCGTTGCTTTTTGCCTGCGTCTTCAGGTACTTGCCTATTGGCTTTACTGTATCGGGGGTCATGTATGAAGGGGGTATATCTGAAGGTTCAAAGCATTAGCCCATCATTCCTGACACAAGTGTTCATGGTGTCCTGAGTACTAGCTCTCAATAAACTGATTGAGTGTCTTGACTGGGAAGCCTGACAATCAGTCAGGGGTCTTTTCAGTGGCTCTCAAGCCCTTATAGTAAAGAAAAACTAGTATGAATGAAAGGGATCTTTCTATCGTGTATTTGCTGTATACCCTTCTGTGTGCCTGGATATTAAAATGCATGCTGGTATCTTTAGGTAGAATAGTATAAATATGTACAGTTCCACATAGCCCATAGGTAATGGAAACATCATGCAACATGTTTATATTCAATATGATCATTGTGGTAAGATGGGACTGCCCTACATAAAGTACCACTGTTTCTTCTTAGAGAAAGGTGAGCGATTTGTTGGATGTGTTCTGAGCTGGGATAGTTCAAGTTAATTTGTTTATTGTGTGTAGATTTTCTTGGTATGATTCCATGAATGCAGCCTGAAGTGCATCAGCCAGTCTGATGGCACACTATAACATCCCTGTCAGAAAATTACCACCTGGAAATGTGACACCTGAGTCAGCTCTAAAGAAACAGCAATATAGAGCTTCTGTGAGGTAGAAACCCAAATTGAGGTTTAACTTTCTCCCTTATTTTTGCACTTACTGTTAATGCAGGCTCAACAAGGCCTAGTTAAATCTGAAAAGGATCTTGGGGAAGGAGCTCAACATATTGCTAGCACTTACCTAGGAGGATTGAAGGATTAGGTACAAGCTAGCTCTTGTATGTATCACTCCTGGGTTTTTTTGGTGTCTTAAAGTGTCGTTATGTATAAATAAAGCGTTTAACAGAAAAGTTAGTGGGGAAGAGCTCATACGATTAAATTGTTTGATTTAGCAAAAATCGTTCTTGCTTTTAAGTCCATGTGTGTGTGTGTGTGTGTAGATACAATCTGCTCAGGACCGATACACAGAGCCACAGTTCAAATGGGGGGGGGGGGGGGTTCCCCACGCGAGCGGAACACACTATACAAATGGAAAACTTACTTGGGCAGAACACTGAAGTTTTCCTTCCTAAGCCTAATATTTGTTTGGGCTGCATCTAGATGGAGATTGTCCCTTTGACCCCAGTTCTTCAAATACCTATAGATTACACAGTGAGTAGTGCAGGAGGAGATGCATATAAAGCAGCAGAAACTGACCCTTTGCATGAAGCATCTTGACTTTTAAATCCTGAGACCTGAATACAGAACGAGGTGTGAAGTGTGAACCTGAATCCAAAGGTTAATGTTTCTCTTGTGTAGCCAAAAGCATGAGAGCTGCCACAAACCTTAGTTCTGGGTGAACCCTTGCAAATATTCATGAACCATGCTACTGGCTGGTGTTTTCCCCCGCCACTCATGGATCCAACCCAAAACATCCTTCTGGTTTTGACCCCAAAATTCAAGAAGTCAATCAGAACAGGCAGTTCACTGGGGATTAGTGATCTAGGCATTTCTATGTATTTAACAGACTGTGAACTGAATTATCTTCTACAGGTTCTCTTCTAGTTCCATGTGAACTGAGTATCTGTCATGTGAGCCAATTTGTTATTTAAAGCAAGCTCCTTTGTCCCGTTTGAAACCCCTTTCTAAAGTTAATCTCACACAATCTGCTTGGCACAGCATGCAGAGAAGAAATCCTCTGCATGCTGCTTGCAAATACATGCCATTTTACAATAATAGTGTGTCCAAGATATTAAATATAGCACCAAAATATAACTGAGTCCTTGGTTTTTAAAGAACTGAATGGAATCTACGGGGCAAGAGGATTCCATAATATGCATGGAAAATTGTGTGATGGCATGCAAAATCCGTTTAATTTTTAAAGCCAATGTAATGTTGACAAGGGTGTACCGTATTTCCAAGAAGAGAAAAAATTACAGTGGAATTATTTCTTTGATCTAACATCTGCATTTCCTTGAAGCAGAAGTAGCTTTAACAGTTTATGTCTTGCCTTCACTGAGTTGTTAAAAAAATGAAAGTATGATTGAAATTGTATTTTATTTAACTCCACAAATTGTTAGAGTTTACACAGATTCCTTACAAACAAATTAGGCAAATACTTCACTTGTCTTTGGATGTGCATATCCATGAACAGAATACAATTAAAAATAATAATACAAAGATTATTTAAAATGCCAATGCTATTTGAAGTACAATTTTTACATCATATACAGTTACAAACATGCTATAAAGAAATAACAATCTCAGAATACACTTGTAAACATATTAAGATTAGCACAAATGCACCCAGGGGAATACTTTTGAAGACTAAAGTGGACTTTTTGATAAGAGCAAAAAGCCTTATCAGCATAGCTTTACTTGGGATGTTTTCCAAAAAGCCTTATCAGCATAGCTTTACTTTCCATTGGCCTAAGTGGAATTCCAAAGTAAGGTTCTAACGTTAAGACATTACATTGGAGGTTAATCAGTATTTAAGAATTTTCTGCTAGGAAACAAGTAGCTACCTAGCCAAGCCAATAGATATCATTCTGGTGTTATGATAATGGCAAGGTTGTTTGACTAATGGATGCCTTACAACATTCAATATGCATTCTAAACATGAAGCAGTATCTGCATTATGTGTGGAACAATTGCTCCATATTTTACTGTGCTATACTGTGAACTTGGTGTTAGTCTTAACTGAGTGAAAGATATGAATATAACACTATTAATATACCAACAGTTCTTTAAATGATCCCATAATTGTTCAAAGTTTGCTTTTCATCTCCGAGTGCTGTACTGATGTGTAGAGAAGAATGCCGGCTATCATATTGCACTGATGATTTTCCAGAGCTTCCAGACAGGATCACTTTGTTCTTCATTGTTTTCTCCCTGCTTCGAGAAACCCAAAACTCCTGTGAAGCTGTTCCAAAGCCTTCTTGATAAGGGTTTTTTGAATGCTTCCTGATGATGGTTTTTAGGACACCTGCATAGATTACAACTGCGAAGCTATCGAATGCTGTCGTTTGGCCTCCTCCACATGGCTCCTCTTCCCGGCAGTAGACACAAACTGTGTTGGGGGGGGGACAGGAAACCAATTATTACAATGAGATAGTCAACGTTCTTTATGTGTGCATACACAACTCTGTTTTAATAGAGTTGGAGAAAAGTGCTGATATAGGGGAATAATTTAAATTCATGTAAGTTCTTAATTACCTGCAGGTGACTTTGGGTGTCACAACTGGTTCAACTGGTCCTGGAACTGCTGCCATATTGTCATACCATTGGTCCATCTATCTCATTGTTGCCTATTTTGACTGGCAGTCGCTCTCAGAGAAACACCCTTTCTAACAGTTGCCACTCAAGACCCTTTAATTGAACATGGAGGAAATTTGACCTGGAAAGTTAAGCGTGTGCTTTGAAACTGAACCACTGCCCCGCTATCCTCAAGATTCTCGAGTTTGTTGTGTGATTATAAGAAATTGTGAGGTGAAAAAATGCAAATACATTACTCAACGAAAATAGGCTTCTCTCTTTGCTAACGGGACTGTGTCATGCAGTGTGTACCAATCTGAAAAGCAAAATTTCACTACAGAAAATGATTCTTAAGTAGTCATCTAGCAGGTTGTTTGCTGAGGAAATCTAGAGGTTTTACAAGTATTAGACTGACTTGCTTGTTCCAATTGATTTGGAGAAGGTAAACAGGATACATTAGTCCAGTACCCCTCACTTTGTTTAGAATCTGTTAAATAAGTACATTATTCAAATAGCACTTTGCTGATTGTAGGTGCTTAGTGGAGTCTCTAAGTCTGTCTGTGCTCAACTGACTCCTTAAGAAGGCTAATACTTGTGCAAACATGCAGGCTGCTGGATGTCTAAGATCTTTTACTGTGTAGGCAGGTGGGATCTTGCACTGGGTGTAAGGTTGAGATGTATTTAAAGTCCTCTGTCATCTCTGTGGAACCTAATGTTTTGCCCAACCCACCCGTGTCTCCATTTCCTATCTGTAAAAACAGAATATTGCATCCTTAAGAAGTCAATACTTTACAAAGTATATATTGTTTCCTTGAATGATGTGCAGTTAAACGATCACCTGCATACTGCATTACGAATAACAGCTTATGTTAAGGGGCAAATAAATCCAAGAGGTAACTAAGAACTGTGTTGCAACAAAGGATATAAAGAATGTGGATTGCTTCTGTACCTTAGCCTGTCCCTTAGGGTGTCCATTTCCCTATTTGTTAAATCACCACATAATGGATTGGATCCAGCCAGCTTTTCTGCTAGTGAAAAAGGAAGGACCACCCAAAACAGCTATGCTGGGAATCATGGGACTGGCATGTAAAAAAAAAGCCACCAGGAGGGGGCACTGCAGAAAGGAGGAAAATTGGGTAAGATTGAGTTGAAAACCTGAGTGGATCCTACGCAATATATCAGATACTAGTTTGATCCAGAGTGCTTGCAAAATGTTGTTTTATGGTTCTATGGGCTTTTTTTTTTGCTAATGTCCCTGCCTCACCAAACAATGTGAATAAGAATGGTCCCTGCTAGAGGCAGTGGGGCCTCCTTGCAGATCAGTGCCATAGCGTGGCCATGCCCTTTTTATATGTCTTAACTTATCTGCAAGCAACTTTGTCCGTGTGCTCAAAGAGTACAATTCAAAACACTTCATAAATCTGCTGATGCAGTAAAAAGTCTAGGGGGGAAAGCATCTGTTCTTTTTGTAGACTAATCTCAAAATTAGGCCAATGCAGTGAATACATTAGAGAGCTTAGCTGATTTTTTTTGTTAAAAGCTTAAATATTTATGCTCCAAAGTAGATGTCTGCATTTTGATTAAAGTGTCCACAAGCCTTATAATGATGGCTTAAAAAATATTCAGAACTTCTATAAAGCATGAATTGTATACCCTCTTTTTAAAGTTGGCAATTGTGTGAATGCTTACATAATCTTTATTTCCAACTAGTTAGCCAAAAATATGACACTGCAGTCCTGAACAGTTATACCTTTTGAAGCCCATTTTCTAATGTACTTAGCAGAGTATAACTCTGTTAGGACTGCACATAAGTCTTCTAAAAGGTCATATGATGATGGCTCCTGTATTGCTGGAATAAAAAAAGTAATACACAACGGGTTGGATCCAACCAGCTTTTCCATTGGGGGGAAAGGAGTCCCCTCTGACAGTCAAAAAAGCTATGCTGGGGATCATGAGACTTGCATGGACAGAAACCACTTTGAGACATGACCTGTAATATGGAGGAGACTTGGCTGAGACTGAGCAAAAGAGTTGGCTGGATCAAACCCAACAGTCCTCTTTTAGAGCTACAAAGGAGATGCTCTGTTGGTAGGATTAGTTGTACATCATCCTAAGGCACAGGAACAGCAACTATGGACTAAAATAGGCATTGCAGTAGCCAGTGGGCCAGCATCTAGGGGACAGTAACAGTACCTTATTGGGCCAGTATACAATCCTGTGGCTCAGTTTCTTAGTAAATTATGTACAAACAAGGCTGCAGTTTGACCTCATCTCTTCAGTTGCTTGACATGCAAAAGGCTCCCTCCCCAGCTATGCTCAAACTAATATCTGTAAGGTGGGTTATGGTTAAGAGCGCAAATATTTCCTTTCACTTACTTTTTGTTATGGTATCTTGTTACAAAGACTTCCCCAATGGCACTAACTACAAAATAGCTTTTAGTCTTGCAAATGGATATTCTGGAAGTGGAAAACACAACCCACCTTAAGTGCATAGTTATCACTCAGGCTCTGCAATATTAACTTAAACGCATTGTATTTCAAGATACATTAGCAAAATAGATCGGCTGCATAATCATGGAACAGGAATGGCGGTGGCGGTGGTGGTGGGGAGGGGAGATGACTGGATCCACTTTCTGAATTCCTTTTGCAGCAAAAGGCTCAACAGGTCTTCCTCCCAAATTCCTACATTCAAAGTGAGCTGATGGGATCGCTTTTACCACCAAGCTGTCCCTGAAATCTGCCACCAGTTGAAATCAACACACAGGTGTGGGCATTGGTATGAGGAACTTATTTGATCATCAGCTCTTAAAAAGATGTTTAATGCATTTCTTTACAAACCTAATGGCACCATAACTGGCTGGGAATTTTAACAATTGTGTGTGGGGGGGGAACACACTTAGCATGTAATGCATGAACAAAGATTGAAGTTACATGAAAGATACCTTAAATTTGAAGTATTTTCTGGAATGACTTCAGGTCATAATGAATGCCCCTGCAATCTGAACCACTTTAAGAAACAGCTTGGTATCCTAATTTGCTCCCTTCTAAATTGCGGCACTCAGCTCCAAAAGTTCTATATTATACTTCCCTCTTATATTTTTATAAGACAGCAAGAATGAGTTGGTACTTGGTGTCAAAAGTATTTGAAAGAGGCCTGCAGAAAGTATACTTGGTTCAAGATGCCATTTTCTTCCAGTTTCTACACCTTCACTCAGTGTTTTTATTTTACTCTTGTGCTGAGAGAAAAAAGTAAGCTTTCCCTGAAGAACCGTTGTTATCACTTAAAAGGTTTTCACTCCTGATCAACCTTACCAGTTTGATAAGAGGCTACTTTTGAGATAATGATTTGGGATTCTAGCCTCTATCATTTTTAATCTATTATACTGAACTACCTATGGGTATGCCATTATCTTGATGTAGGTCCAGAGATGCAAAGCTATTAATGGCATGTTTTATTCATCAGCAGAATGGCATGCTTCTCTGAAAGGGAGTTTTGGCATCCTTTTGATTCTGAGTATATTTACATGTTCTATCTGCATGCCTCTGGAGTGGAGAAGTATTTGCATATACATACAGTTATTTGCACTTCAGAACCTCCTATGAATTAAGCCACAGGACCCCCTAGCTTGGTTAAAAGTATTATTTCTGTCTGAGACTGTGGGATGCAATGCAAAGTTAAAGAGGTTCAACTTTCACACTGCAGCAGTCTGCTGGGGGCTGTTTTGAACAGGTCGGCACCTGAGCCCAAACCACAATGAACCAGAAACACAATATACGTTGGCTAGGGATGCCAGCCTCTAGGTGGGACATGAGGATCCCCCTGAATTAGAGCTCATTTCCAGACTACAGAGAGCAGTTCCTCTGGAGAAAACAGGTGCTTTGGAGGGTAGACTCTATGGCACTGTACCCCACTGAGGTCCCTGACCTCCCCAGGCTCCATCCCCAAATCTCTAGAGTTTCCCAGCCTTGATTTGGCAACCCTACCCCCCTATCCTCTACCAGTGGCTAAGGGGCACCTGGCAACCCTAAATATGACTGCCACACCCCCCCCCCCCATCACTTCTGCCATTGCCATCTTTTCTGCTGATGAACAAGGAAGGCGGGTTCCTCTTTACAAAGGTGGTGGGTGTGTTAATCTTTCATAACAAAATAAAAGTCCAGTAATACATGTTAGTCTTAAATGTGCCACAGGACTTCTGTTTTATTTTGGGATACTCTTTGGCCACCACAAAAAGGCCATGCTGGGGTTGGGACCTGCCTGTACGAAAGCTGAGTGGGATCGAGGCTGCAGTAAGAAGGACAATTCTGCAAGATGGAGTGAAAAAGCTTCCTGGGTCCAACCTGTGGGAAGCTGTAGAAAAGGAAGTTTGATTTCTTTTACCTATTGCAAAAATCAGATTATAAGACCTTTTTTTGTAAGACATGGAGCTATTCTTTTTTAATATCTAAAATCCTGAGCAGGCGGCCCCACTGGTTGTAGCTGGGGAGCTCGTGGTGGAATTAAACCTTTAAAGGGTATACATTTACTGAAGCAGGGTTGTCAAAGAATGATTGGTCCTGCCTCTATGACTGGGACTGCAGCACCTGCATAAAGCAGGGGAAACTTTCCCCTTTGTGTTATTTCTGTGTCAGGAAAAGCTTTACCTGCGCTTTGTCTCTCTGTCTTGACTGCTGACCAAAGATCCAGAAGCAGGCCAACGAAAGGCAGTGGCCGCCTTCCACAATCACAGCCCAAGCACAATTTCCCTGGACCTGGTAGAGGTTTATAACATAGCCCCCTCTTTCCAATCCATCTCTTACATAGTGTGTCATGAAACACACATTTCTCTTCTTGTAGCATGGTAATATGCAAATGGCTCCTCTGTACAGGTGCCAACCTCCAGGTAGGTCCTGGGGGGGGGTCTCCCAGAGAATTACAACTGATCTCCAGGCTACAGAGATCAGTTCTCCTGGATAAAATGGCTGCTTTAGAGGGTGGACTCTATGGCATCACACCGCTGCTGAGATCCCACCCCTTCCCAACCCCACCCTTCCAAGGTCCATCCCCAAATCTCCCAAGAAATTCCCAATCTGGAGCTTGCAGTCCTACTCTTCTCCTCCCCATTTTCCCTGTCCAAAATGAACATTGGGCCTTTCTGAGTGTTGGTGCCATGAGAATGGGGTGAAAAAAAATTGGCTTTAGCGTGGCATAGAAGGCTGCTGGATAGCAATGGAAGAACCTCTGCATTTTTAGGAAAGGAATAGTTATCGGGGACCTGCCTATTGCAGCTTGCTATGCTCCCCCCCCCAAAAAAAAGTCTTTCTCTTGGGATGGAGGTCATTGGACCATTGGAAACAACATGGGGTGCCTGAGGGACCAGTTCTCAAGGGTGAAAGGTAATGTCAGCAGAAAGCTACCGTAAGCAAAAGTGAGCATGTGGTCTAAATCACTTTATCATAATCTTTATCCATCTTGATCTATGGAGGTGGGTCTACCCAAAAGACCTGCATTCTAGACTTTTTAAACATGGATGAGGCAGGAGAAAACTTAGCCTTTGCATCTCAACTGTATTTCACTAGCCAGAGTGTCAAATCGTTCCCACTCACTGTGAAATAATCAACAGAGAAGCCCAGCGCTACTTTCTCATTTGGAACAGTGCCCTGGAGTTCACGTAAAACAACTACTTTTATTGTGCTGCTCCCTCTTTACTTCTCTTCACCCCCCACGCATACTGCTGGTCCTCCCCCTCCCCTCTATGTCCAAACCAAATAAAATCACAAAGAAAAGGCACCCAGAGTAAAATTGTATGTGGCTTGTGGTTGGTAAAATGCCCCCCCTAAGCTTGTTTGGAAGTGAAAGTATAATTTGCGATTGTGTTTATTTTGGAGAATGGACTCCATCAGCCACACACTGTTCCTAAGCGATCGCAGAGGGGCAGCCTCTTACAATCGCATCCTTCTGGCGCCTGGTTTTATTACTCCACACTTATGAATGACCCTTGCCTAGATCTAACTCCCGCTCTATAGAATTTCAGATACCTCAGGGAAAGGGCACTCTGGAATGCAGGGGCATGCATCTCCTGTGGGAACAGTGCTGTCGGTGGAGCTTTCGCCTCAAGGACAGGTTAGCTGGAAGGCAAGAGGGAAAACAGGGAATAAGAAACACACCAACACTGATACATCTCGTTTTCATCCTATGAAGTCCCGAATCCATACAGTTGCAGCAGGTTCCATCAAAAGCAGTCTTTGTTTTATATAAATTGTCCCATACAACAGAACCTTTAGCTGTCCCTCGGCTAGGCAAAGGCAAGCACTCTTAAAACCAACTGGAGTTAAAAATGCTTATGATTGGCTGGATCAATCATCCTTTTGGTTTTTAGTGTAAGAAGAGCTCCTAACCCCTTTTCAGGAACATAATGCTTGATGTCTGCTAATAGTTCCATCTTAGACTATTCATAAACTGCCTAAATGATTTCATAGGGAACTGTGGCTGAAACACAGAATATATGAATGTGTCCAAACAGTGCCTGAAAACAAGAGAGAATACTGTCATACCTTGCCAAAGCACAATCTGCCACCACAGTTGAGCAAAAGTAATACAATATTTAACTTAAACCACTAAAAAAACCCACTTCCTCCTGAGGAACAGGTGTTGGTCGCATAGTGGTTTAGCTCTTGAGATTAACTAGACACTCTTGATCCTAACCTCATCATGGAATCATCGGATGGAGTTAAAGGATAACAGCCTCAAAAAAACCCTCCCCATTTAATACTGGCCAACCATACAGGATTGTTGTTTAAAAATGTGAAGAATGCAGATAGTCATGGACATCCATCAGGAAAAAAAAATTAAAAAGCAACATTAATGTGAAATTGTGAATCCTTTTATTAGGAAACTACTTTAAAAAACCACAAAGCACCAAGCAAGTCACAAAATGATGTTTTACTTTGTCCCAATATCACTCTGCTGTTGCTCTAGGGTTCTTGTCAGATTGAGCATTTAAGGAAAAGTTCTAAGCATTACTGATGCAGCTATGACCCTTCAGTGGCAGGAAGATGAGCAGCAGGGAGTAGTTCTCCAGCCAGTGTGACGGGTTTGGATGTGGGAGGCCTTGGTAAGCCTCTGTCCCTCAGTCTAACCAAACCCACAAGGCAGTCATGAAACTAACATGCTACTTTGTGTTCCTAGAAGAAGGCCAGGATATAAATGCCATAGTAAAATAACTATAACAAGCTTCTCAGCTTCCCAAAGTCTCTGAATCCACTGTCAGGCAGATGAACACTTTGTCTGATCCAGAATGGCTGTTCTAGAGTCTTATAGAACTATTAGCTATGTATACAACATAGCTAAGATTGATCTGTATTTTATCATGAGCCTGGTAATGCTCAGAACTTGAGAACAGACCCTAGAAAAACATTAGATGAAGGTCCTTTTCTCCCCCTTACACAGCTGAGGTCCAGTTTTACCAATCAGTTCTCTTAAGACCACTTTGCAAATGGCAGAAGGGATCTTTTCTTGGGAATAATCCCCCCCCCTCCTTCATTGCTTTAACTGAGTCAAAGAGGACAAAAAGCTCCAGTGCCAGCACCTGATGCTTGGGCAACTCTCTCTATGAGGCTGCAAGCTATTTGGTTGGGGGTCGTATCACTGAAGTTACTGATATTTCTGCAGAATAAGTGTTTTGGGGGTCACTGAAAAGTTGGGGGGGAGAAACTGAAGCAAATATCTCACTCTTCCAGATTATTGCATTAAAATTAGCTTCACCTTTCAGCTCTTGAGTACAATTTCTTAAAGCTATGCAAATCTGGGTGAGTCTGTTTCTGAAGGGGCAGGAGGAAAAGAAGCATGAAGGTACCAGATCTTTTGTCTCATCAAAGAAATGTTGAAAACCATCACAGAAAACAGTGTAAGTGGTTATTAGACAAAGGTTACAGGTCCTTTCCAGTGGAAAATAGACAAATAATTGCATCACACAGGTGTAGAAGGGTTGCTTATAAAAATAGTTGTATGCACACCACCCCCTTATACACAAGCTTTGTTCCCGTTAGATATTCCCATTCACTTGTGTGGCTACAGCACTTAGGTCTAAATCTACAGTGTTACTTTAATTGGGACTTTATTTGCCACTAAAACCCAGTGACGACCATCCTAATCAAATGCGGTGCTTATTCCACCCGGCACACAAATCTAGGACTGGTGCAGTCGATGTGGCTACTCAGTCTTACTTTGCTCCTTATGAGCAGGAAAAGAAATGTCTTATTGGCACTGGATTTTCCGTGGCGGGCTTTAAAATGCCACAGAAGCTTAAAAAAACAAATCAGCAATACAGGTGCTCACAAGACTCCACGGCTTAGACGGGGAGCATTGGTGCCACCTCAATCCCCACGCCTCCCTCTGCCCCCCCCCCCCGGCGGCAGGAGGAAGGGAAAGCAGAGACCGGCGACCTGTTCCCAGCCCAGTCCCTACCTGGCCTCTGCCCGTTGCCGAGGAGCACCCCGGTCAGGATCAAGAAGCAGGTCAAAAGGAGCAGCTGGAGCCTCATGTTGCGGCCGCCGCGGACTGACAGCCCGGGAGATCCGCTCTGGCCGAGCCTGGCGGCAAAGGAGACCCCCGTGTCCCGAAGAGGCGGCTGCCGTTTCTCTCCCGGGCTCTGCTCACATTCTACGGACGCGCTGGAGGAAAGAGCTGCCCGCGCCCGGCAAGGTTAATGATCGCATCAGGCAAGGTTACTGCCTCTCTGCGCTGCGGCCGGCCGGTGCCTCCCTCTCTTTCCCCTCGTCTTCCCCGTCACTCCCCCTTATTTTCCATAAGCAAACAACGGGGGTGGGGTGGGGGGGAGCCCGTGTAAACAGCAGCTTCTGTCAATGTCTGTGAAGCCAGGAGCCGGGAGGAACAATAGTCCAACTTCCCTCTCGATTCATTCCAGGCAAGGCTTACTATGCAAAGCGAGCCGGAGCCTTCCTCCTCCCATTTGCAACTGTTTATGCCTTGCTGCGTTTTTGCCGGCCCGGATTGGTCTCATATGCGAAGAGTAAGGGAAGAAGAAGGGGCAGGAAGTCTCCCCTTTGTCCCGCTCTGAAAGGGTCCGCTTTAGAGCATTGTGGGTTCTTCCCTGCTGCTCCACAAACCTTTGTCCCTTATCAACTAGCTGCAAAGTGGCATCTATTCAAAGTGAAAACATCGACTGAATGGGCATCTTTCCCAGCTTCAAGGAAGGCACCAAAACATCTTGATTTCTGTAAATAACTTTTTGAGACTGATAAAATGGGTATTGGCCATGGGGCTGATTCCCCCCCCCCAGTGGAACTCCACCCCAGGTTTTGCTGGAGACCAAGAAGATGTGTACCAACATAGCTAACAGGTACAGGGTTTTTTGCTCATGGAATAAATGCTTCTCTGCCATTCAGGCCACTTCCAGTTTGCTTTCACTTCAAAAACACAGTCTTCATGTTGGTTTTGACACTGAACTGCAGGCTGTGGAAGGTCAGTAGTTCAGCAGTTCGAGACCCGAGTTGCCGCATGATGGAGTGAGCTCCCGTCTCTAGTTCCAGCTCCTGCCAGCCTAGCAGTTCGGAAGCAAGAAATTGCAAGTAGACAAATAGGTACCACTTTGGTGGGAAGGTAACAGCGTTCCATGCGCCTTGGTGTTTAGTCATGCCGGCCACATGACCACAGAAACGTCTTCGGACAGCGCTGGCTCTTCGACTTTGAAACGGAGATGAGCACCGCAACCCTAGAGTTGGACTCGACTGGCTTTCGAGCAAGGGAACCTTTACCTTTACCTATTCTGCTGGCCACCTGTCCAACTTTAAAAAAATGTTAAAAGGCTGCTTGTGCATTGACATGACAAAAAGATCATAAAGCAATGTTGTTTCAAAAAATTAAACTACTTTTTGAAGGTTTGAAACTGCTCTGAAGGGAGGTAGGGTTGTGATGTCAAAGCTACTGGGCAATCAATGCTGTGCCCAGCAGAACCCCCCCCTCTAGAAAATAATAGGTAAATCTAAAAATACTGAGCCTTGTGCATTGAAAAGATGGCTGTAACATTTTTTTTAAAGCCTTTTACCCCATTTCCCCCTTTTCACAACTTTTCTACCTCCCCTTTGATAGAGAATCCCAAGTGACCCCTGTGCTGCAAATATTTGCCAACTGTGTCAATAATTTCAAGGCCGGTGGCTTTATTTCAACTACGAATAGGGGCCACATAATGAGCGAAGCAAATAATATGCTCCTATAAAGCCCCTGAATGGGATGTTTTTGTAACACAGAGAATTTCCAGCAACTGTAAGGAAAACTCATGCAGTTTATCCCCTTTTTTAAAAAAATTAGGAGTTCAACAAATGTGTTCACTTTTTCCCTCTGGATATGCTTTGTAGACTGGGCTGTCTTCTTTCCCTCACTTACCCAAAACTCTTACAATATTTGTGTCTGGAGTGAAGGAAGTAGAAAGAGGCCTCCTTTAGTATTCTGAGAGTGGTTCTGAGCCCATAACCTTGCTAAGTTATTGACCATATATTCATGTGTTAACTATGAAGTACCACTCTCACGGTCACATTGGACCAGACCTTCCATCTATATTGCTCCTGATTGCAGTCAATACTGGAAGCTTTTGGGGGTAATTGTCCTTGACAACGCACAAGCTAAAATAGATTAATTCCTCTAATACAAATATGAGCAATTAGCCAAATTGAAATGAGTACAGCATTGTGTAGGATGTCTGCAGAAAGCAAAGGACATTGTCCTACATCATAAGTCCAGATTGTTAGCTACTGCCCTGCACCCTCCTTTGTTTTTTTTGTCTCCAGTACCAGGTAGTCAGAGGTATTCTGCATCTGAACATGGAGGTGCTAGTAGGGATGCCAGCTTCCAGGTCAGGCCTGGGGATCCCCTGGAATTACAGGGGATAAGTTCAGCTGGAGAAAATGGATGCTTTGGAGAGTGGATTCTGTGGCATTGTACCCCACAGGTCCCTGTCCTCTCCAGGCTCCATTCCCAAATCACCAGGAGTTTCCCAGAGTAGATCTGGCAACCTACCCCCCCATCCCCCATGGGGGGCCAGGGGAGACCTGGCAACCCTAGGTGCTGTTTAGCTGACTTGGTTAATAGCTACTGTAAGGTCTAGCCCCCATAAAGTTGTGTAAAAAGACATTGAAGCCAGTGGCCATTAGGGTTGCCAGGTCTGGGCTGGAAAGTACTTGGAGACTTTGGGGGTGGATCCAGGAGAGGGTGGAGTTTGAGTAGGGGCCTCAGCATGGGACAATGCCAGAGAGTCCACCCTTCAAAGCAGCCATTTTCTCCAGGGGCGATCCCCAGGCCCCACCTGGAAGCTGGCAACCCTAGTGGCCATCCCCACAGTATGTAACAGAAAAATTCTGAAAGTTAATTCTGCAGCTGTGAACCTGAGCAAACTTGAATGTTTTAGAAGCAAATAGGGAGGTTACAGTATAAAAGTGGAAGCCATACAGACTTTGCGGCAATCATTTCCAAAACTCCACAGCAAAGCAGATTTGGGAAAGATGGGGGGGGGGATAGAAGCTCCAGGACATACACAAAGGCACCAAGATGCTGTGAGGAAGCAGGAAAAAGACCCTACTTCCCAACAGCAGCAAACTTGGGCCGAATAACCTGTGTGGAAATGACCTTACATACACACACGTTTTCCCCAGAATGGATAAAAGCAGCTTGGCAATAGAGATGTTAGGTAGGAAAACATAGAACCATAGAATTATGGAGTTGGAAGGGACCTCCAAGGTCATCTAGTCCAACCCCCTGCACAATGCAGTAAATTCACAAAAACCTCCCCCTCCACACCTGCAGTGACCGCTGTTCCACGCCCAGAAGGTGACAAAAAACCTCCAGGATCCCTGGCCAAACTGGCCTGGAGAAAACTTGCTTTGGAAGGATTCAGTTACTTCTCCTTGACTGGTAACCCTCAGTGGCTGAATTTTGATAAGGGAAGGCTCACAGAACTATACAGCAGAACTATACTCTTGGAGACACTGACTGTAGAACATCCCAGTTCTGTAGAATTCAGGCCTACTGTACTCTTTTTAAACATGCACTAAACTTTTCTGTAAGACTATAGCTCAGGCCAAGGATAAGGTAAGAGAACCACCATGGTGTAGAGGATGGAGCAGGATCTGAGAGATCCAGGTTCAGTCCCCCATTCTGCAATGGGAGATTGCTGGGTGACCTCAGGCCAGTCACTCTCTCTCTCAGCCTAACCAACCTGATAGGTCATTTCTGGGAGGATAAAAATGGAAGAGGGGAGAGTGATGCTGCTGGAAGCCTCTTTGAGTCCTCAGGATATAATGATCTAAAGAAGATCCCAGCCTCTCTACTGCAAAATACCCAGGCATATATTCTCACGATCATTTCCTGGGCTGTATAAATTTGGCCAGCTGTTTACTAGAAGTTTGTAAGCTAAAAATATGAGCCAAACCAAGTGGAGAGACAATGGCCAGTGACTGAGAGTTTTTCTTTGGAGATGTAATCTAGAGTTGCTTTTCTGAAGCAAGAAGTCTTTTGGCAACGTTTAACATTGCCTGCAAATGTAGAGTTAATCCCTCCCCCAAACTAACAAAGGCACTATGTCTCTAACAGTTTTATAATAGGAAGAAGTTCAACAAATGCAGTTTTATTTATTGTATTTAATCTCAGAATTGGAAGGGACCACTAGGGGCATCTAGTCCAACCCTGCCAATGCAGGAACTAGGTAAAGGTAAAGGTTCCCTTGCTCGAAAGCCAGTCGAATCTGACTCTAGGGTTGCGGTGCTCATCTCCGTTTCAAAGCCGAAGAGCCAGCGCTGTCGAAAGACGTTTCCGTGGTCATGTGGCCGGCATTACTAAACACCAAGGCGCACGGAACGCTGTTACCTTCCCACCAAAGTGGTACCTATTTATCTACTTGCAATTTCTTGCTTTCGAACTGCTAGGTTGGCAGGAGCTGGAACTAGAGATGGGAGCTCACTCCATCATGCGGCACCCGGGTCTCGAACTGCTGAACTACTGACCTTCCACAGCCTGCAGTTCAGCATCTTAACCACTTGAGCCACCGCAGCTCCTTAATGCAGGAACTACTGCTGTAGTATCCCCAATACTTAAAAACCTCTAATGATGAAGAATCCACCACTTCATGAGGGAGACTGTTCCAGTGTCAAACACAGACCTCCTTTGTCTGCAGTTTGTATCCGTTAGTCCGAGTCCAGTCATCCAACCTGACTAAAAAGATATCCTCCCCATTCTCTGCATGGCATCACTTTAGACATCGGAAAGTGGCAATCATATCACGCCGTGAGCAACAGTCCTCTCCCATCATGTTGCCAGGCTGGGAAAAGCTGCAACGAACTTCATATCATGCCAGTTGTTAAAGGCAGATGAAGGGGAAAAGCCAGAGGAATGATTATGCACATATTTACTATTTCATTGAAACACCTTTGAGACTGGAATCTGGGCACCTGGCCTTCTTCAGTTTGGTGTAGTGGTTAAGTGTGCGGACTCTAATCTGGGAGAACCGGGTTTGATTCCCCACTCCTCCACTTGCACCTGCTGATGTGACCTTGGGTCAGTCACAAGCTCTGGCACAGCTGTCCTTGGAAAAGAGCAGTTTGTGTCAGAGTTCTCTCAGCCCCACCCACCTCACAGGGTGTCTGTTGTGGGGAGGGGAAGGGAAAGGAGTTTGTAAACCGCTCTGAGACT